ACCTTTGTGACCACCATTCATGCGCAGTCTCAGACACGGTTTCAGGACTTTCAGAAGGGATTCTTTTGGCTAACTCCAAAGATTCAATGTCATGAATCAACCCTAACGCATGTTTTTCAGACACAACAGGACACCCATTTCGCAACCAACACTGAATGGTTCCTCTTGAGGGATGTTTGATTTCACAACCATGGGTACTCCATTTGATGACAAAACCAAGGTCAATTAATCCCCTTAATGGCACAATGGGTTCAACCGCATGTTCAGTGAGAATGGTCCCCGTCAAAGCATGTTGTTTCAGTTCAGCCGATCCATGTGCTAACTCCACAACAACAGGATCAGCTTCAGCCAGTTCTTGAGGGGTTCCCCTTCTCAAAGCGTTTGTTGCCCCACCATCCAAAAGACCTGTGGGTCCATCAGGAGCATTCACCCTTTTGATTTTGACAGCTTTGGCAACCGGTTTAAGGGTTTTCAGGAGGGTAGTGGCTTCACTCAACAGCCCAGTGACCCTTTCAGGAGTACTTTCTCCCCCGTCCCCAGTTTCCGGCCCAGTCCTGTACACAGTTTCAGATCCAAGAGGCTTTTCTGCTGCAGCAACATCCCCAGTAGTTTTTTCAGGGCTACTATGTTCCCCACTACCCTTCTCAGACTTTTCGGGGGTCCCTTTTCCACTTGGTTTTGACACCTTGGCAACCCTCTTTTTGGTGGGATCATGTTTGGGGTCCGACCCTGTATTCTTCAAAGGACAGTCACGTTTTGAATGACCCACAGCAGAACAGTTGAAACATCGGTTACTTTGGGGGTCCAAATTCGCATGACCAAAAGAACATTGATCACCCCTGGTACACCCCTTTTCACTCATCCAATACCTACAAGGCTTTCTTTTTGAGTTCGGAAACCTCGGATCCGATTCATTTTGAGGTTTTGGGGAACTTTGAGGATTTTGAGGGATCCCAGGAGGCAATGGCACACCCAAAGCAGCAGCCCTCACAGCCGAAGTTGCCTTCGCAGGCGCGCTCAAAGTCAGCTCTTCAGCTTCAGCTTGCAGATGCTCGGAGTAGCTCAGGATCGTCTCTGCTGTTGGCAACTGATCCGCATTCAACTGCTGGCGGATCATGTTGAGACGATATGCCACTTGTGGGGATTTTCCACTCAAAACATCAGTACATTTGTTCAAAGCCCCTAGCAAAACCAAACCATCAGGCAACGTGACATGGAGTTCCCTGGCCCTTTGAACAAACCGTCGCCAGGTTCGAATCCAGTCCAAAACTTCATGAACATTGGAACCACATTTGGAATCCGTAATGTTCTGCAACAACTTCGTGCGCTCAGTAGCACCTCCCGGTTGGAAGGTGATGCACAACTTGTACAACACTTGGTCAGTGGTCAGTTTTCGAGCTGAAATCACTTCTTCTTTGATGGGGTCAGGAATGGCTCCCAAAAGCATGGCTAAAGCCCTTCTTTCCGTTCGAGGCCAAAGATGAACCCTAGGATCCACCTGTGGTCGAAGCCTAAGCCTTTCAATTGGTCCAACATTCAACCAATCCCTATAACACTGATCAACAGCTCCCCTGACCATGGTCCACCAATCCCCCGACGAGTACGACAAGTCACCCATGAGAGAATCGATGATGCTGAGCCAATCACCAAATTGCAGAGCAGTGGCATCCATGGACAACTTCGGAAGCTCCACCGTCCTGAGATTTTCAGATGGATTTTCACCACCTGAGTTTTGCAAGTTTCCTGCCACAGACGCAGGAAAAGGTGGCAGTGCAGGAGGGAATTGAGGTGTTACTGACCCTAACCCACATACACTATTCAACATTCTTGGCGGCGATGGTGGTGGAGGTCCAGGTGGTGGCCTAGGCACAAATGGTTCAACAACATTGGACACAGTTGACACAACGTTTTCAGGTGCAACCCTCGTGAACGTCACAGCCTTTTCAGGTACAACCCTCACATATGGATCATGAACCATTTGGGATTCAACCACATCATGAGATTTGGGGGCAACAGGCTCTTGGAAATCCACTGCCGAAACATATGAACTTTGAGAACCATGCGACCCTTTTTCATGCTCATGTTTTTCAACCCTTGACTCCTTGGCACTCATCCCCATATTCAACAAACCCTGCCGAAACTTTTCTTCAGCATCTCTCAAACAACGCAATCGGAACAGTTCTATTGGATCCATTTCAACATCAACACTTTCCCTTTGTTCCACATGAACTTTTTGGGGTGTCGACGCATTTGAACCCGGCTGCAAACCCAAGGCACTCACATCGTACCCAGGCCCGAATGCTTCTCGAACAGCTTCACGCTGCTGAGTTTCGCTCCAGAAGGGATTCACAACTTCCCCCATTTGGTCTGGAACCACAACAACATTTTTGCTACCCTGAGGCGCGACAACAACGGCTCCGGAGCCCTGAGGCCCATCACCTATGTAAAACCTTTGAACCCCTGAACCCTTCACATTGGAGCCCTGAGGCATGGTTTCACTCACAACACCCGAACCCTTTCCAGTGGGACCCGGTGACACATTTTGACAACCCTCAGAACCCCTCACATGTGAGCCCTGAGACACATTTTCACAACCAAAACCCCTCATGCGTGAGTCTTGGGACACAGTTTCACAACCCTCAGAACCCCTCACATGTGAGCCCTGAGACACATTTTCACAAACAGAACTCCTCATTCGTGAGCCCTGCGACACAATTTCACAACCCTCAGAACCCCTCACATGTGAGCCCTGAGACACATTTTCACAACCAAAACCCCTCATGCGTGAGTCTTGGGACACAGTTTCACAAACAGAACCCCTCATTCGTGAGCCCTGCGACACATTTTCAACACCCTCAGAACCCCTCACACGTGAGCTCTGCACATCCCGGTTTGAGTGTTGTGCTTCTGCGGCAACATTTTTCCTACCAGACTCAGAGCCAGACCCCTTTCCCTTGCCAGCACCATCTCTAGGACTATGTTCATTCACAATCCCCTGCACTGGTTCGGTGGTAGTTCTATGCCCCTCCTTTGGTGGGTTTCCAGTTTGTTGCTCTGTCACAACGACCCTTTTGACACCAGGTGTGTTTTCAACATTTTGTTTCACCTCGAGGTTTTGCATTCCCTTAGCTCCCTCAACTAACATGGGTGGCTGACCAGGGGAAAAAGACAACGGAGGTCCTACAGGTCCCAAAGCTTCCAACATACCCCCACTATTCAGTTCAGTGGTGTTAGGTAGGTTCACCAGTTAGAGCTCCAACAGACCCACCAGTTCCAGACCCAGCAGCTTCTTCCAACATCTCCTCCATCAGGTCGTCTGCGCAGCTGGCAGCATTCGCAGCGCTAACAGCGGCAGCAGCTCTTCGCTGGAGAGAAGACTCACGACGACTGGCAAGCTCCATGTCAGCTGAGATCCTTTGGGCTCATAACCCGTGGATCAACAGCTGAAGCAGCAGCTGCTAAGCAAGACTTTTTCAGTCTCGCCTTTGTGCCAACTTTCGTTAGCTTGAGCCATTTTGCAATGGCAGTCACATGTCATCCTTGCGCAGTGGCCATGCTATGTTTGGTGCATGCCACCACATGTCAACTTCTAAGTTTTAAAATCCACAGCAGCTGGTGGAATGCTTCATGAATCGCAAATAGAAATCAATTAGATGATGACTTCACTGCGACGTCACGAGCAAAGAGTGGTGTGTGATGGTTTGTGTGTGTGCGTGTGTGTGGGGCATTGCCACCAAATTTAGGTTGGTGCACTAATGCGCTTATATATTATGATTCATCCAGAGTAGTCATTGGAGGTATAATGGGGCTGCAATGGGGTTTTACAGTAACCAATGCAACCACTACTGTAATCTTTCTGAATTGCAACGATGTCACTGGCTCACGTCACCGTAGGTGATAAGCATCAGGCAAATCATCTCCAAATGATTAGCCAGATAAGCTGCATGGGTAGACGACCTTGCTTAAGTAGGTTAGCCAGTGGCTTCACCTTTTTGCAGTGGAAGATAATACATACTAATCAGCGAAAATTCAAGTCTTTTCGCAGAGTGTGTAAGATTGGCCAAGATGGATTCCAGAATATTCCGGATAATGTTGTATATGGTTGTGGCCCAAGCAAGAGGTACCAATGGGCCCACCAAAATTACTCAGTTGGCCTTGCATTTCATTGTCCAATGCAGTGTGCCAATCATTAGCCATAGCCATATGCTTGCTTTGCAACAAGCGTGGAAGGGGAACATATGGGAACATATGTCATTCTCGGCTGGAATTAATCTTCCCGTGGACCACTTTCTAATTTTGAGCGGTGTTTTTCTCGGTCTTTCAACCAAATTGAAAAACATGTTGTTTATTGATGTTTATTGTTTATTGTAATGTAAGCCCCAAAATCTTGATACACATGCCACACTGGGCAATTCCATGGGACACCAGCCTCAGCACAACATCCATGGTGACTTGGCATCAGTGGTTAGGGACTAATCCACTGAATGGGAACATATTAGTCAGGCTTAGCCCAAAAAAAAACATAGATAACTATCACCCACATGAGTACTGTAGATAGAATACAAAATTTTCCGACTAAAATCGGAATATCTTTGAAAATCCGAGATTCTACTGATTTCAGGATGGTTCTTTCGTACCATGCCCGTTCTTTCTGAATCATCCAGCGTGGCTGGCAGGAAAATCCCCTTTCTGGGCTATTTTTGTTCATGGGAAAATCATGGGAAACCAGAACTTTTAAAATAGTCTAATAATTCTATATCAACTATAAATCCCAGAAAATCCTCAATGACTCATTTTACCCCTTTGTTAATGGTGAATTATCGCTACTTTTTGATGGATAAATGAGTCATTGGACTTTCAGGGAATATTATGAGTGGTGGATTTTCCATGATTTTCCAGCCTTCGAAATCTTCGAATTGATTACCAAGTAATTCGATGATATCCGATGATTGTCCCAGCTACAAAGCTGTGGGTGAGCAGCCTCCCTTGCCATACTTGAGGAAGCAGAAAGGCCTGAAGCCTGAGTGCCTTTGGCTGCACCTTTCGGGTAGCATGGGCAGGAAATTCCGGCGGAATGTTCATTTCTAAGTTGTCCAGGACATGTTTGTTTGAACATTGCCTCATTGACTCATTGTATCTCATTGTAGTTCATTTTAAGGCACGCCAAATTGTTTCTGCTGTTTTTATTTTTTCTAACTTAGCAGCACATCGCGATTCAAAGGATCTTTCAGGACCTTCTCTGATGGCGAACAGCCCACCGTGCGCAGATGGCAGTGAAAAACCCACAGCTATGACAAAGTTAGGTATAGGATGGTATAGGCACAAGCTTTGAACATCTTTGAGCTACTTTTAGGTGTGTCTAAAGCCTATGTTCGGATTGTTCAGACCAAGCCGTTTCACTTCCCCAGAGCCGTTGCCGCGGTTTCCAACCAATAGCCATGAACAGCCGAAGGCCTTGGGATCCTTGGGTTGATGGCCTCACCACTCAGCCAGACGTATAAAACCCTCATGGTTGTTGCAGGATGGTGCCCCCCAGTTATAAGTTGGTTTATAAATCCCATTAACTATAGTTATATTTGCCATAAACCATAGTTATGGGAGTTATAAACCAACTTAGCTAACTATGGGGCACCACCTTGTGATCAGCCACATATTTCACACGCGACCGAAACCTCAAAACACGGACACAGCGAGGCCGGTGGTTTTCGTCGAGATCGAACCGGGGCAACAGTTCCTTGTCATCTCGGATTGGTTCGACGTTTAGTTGGATGGTACATGATGGTACCATTTTAGTAGAATTTGGTGGTGTGTTGATATACCTAGATGATGTTAGATGGTAGAGACGGATAATGATATATTTGAAGGATACTTAAAAAGATAAATGGGTAGGTAGACAGTGATTTGACATATAGATGGGTGAACACATAATATGCCTGCATGAAACTGCTGTGGTCCGACCTTGAATGTCTTTGAATAGAATATAATATATATATATACATACATACATACATACATATATAGATATAGGGTTCTTAAACGTTCTTAATATAGATACACACCTCGAAGTCCATGTGGTTTCCGGATGTTGTTTGGATCTCACCGGAGCTGCTGCTGGATACGATACGCTCCGCACCATATTAGAGTGGGCGATGCGAATATTATATACAGTAAGAAGAACCGTCAGCAAATGTGGGAGAATCACCAGAACATCTTGTAATCAAAAAACTGATGTTTCAATGTCCCAGACGTGTCCAATCTGCAAAACTTAATAATTATCAAGTTATATGCATCCCTTTGCTTCCAAACATCATTTCTTTGGGCATTTTTGGCCTTTATGACCCCTCACAACCACCATCCGAGGGTAGAGCTGCTGAATATGTGTCAGCACTTCAGCTCTTTGACCCGGCCATTTCAACCTGGAGGCAGGCGTATGCCGACAGCCATCCAACAGCTGTGTTTTGACGGTCATCCATGTCTGTATTTTTATATAATTATGATAAACTATATGTACATACATATATATATCATATATACATACTGTATATATATATACATATATATATACATATGTATTTACATATGTATATACATATATACATATGTATATATATATGTGTGTATGAATGATTCAAAATGATGTATTTAACAAGATGCAATTTATCAGTACATCCACACAATCAGCGATCTATTTGCGTTGTCAAAGATATGCCCCTTGCGCCAAGATGGAACCAATCGCGCAGTTTGCATGGGATTCTATGACTGCCGAAACGCTGGCCGCCAGGTGAATCGGATGCAGCAATCATGACGCGGCCCGCGTTTTGTAGTGCCTTGGAGATTGTGAGTTGGAATTCCATCCCGGGAAATATCATAGTCCCACTCCCCAAAAAAGCCCTGAAACCATGCGGTAGTATAGGGGATAAACAAAAAAGCAATAAAACACATATGACTCGCATGCGTGGCGTGGGACTGTAACTTCAACGAATGGGATAGACTAACCCACCACTCGCTCATCCCCCTGGTTGGATCGTTGGCGCACCATGTCACCATGGCCTTTTGAGGAGCCATAAAGGCCATGAAACATCCATAAACTCAGAAATGATTAGATATTGCTAGGGTATATGCATGGTCAACTTTGGGGAAGTGTAGGATGCAGTGGTATATCTTTTGCTGCTTGCCATTGGTGTATGTGTAAGTGTGTAAGCGTTTTTCTGCCGAAATCACCTGGTTGAAGATGATCGAAGAACAATGTGGACCTGACCGTCATCCCTGTTACCATGTCCTATATACACGTCTGAACAAAACCATGTGAAGCGAGAAAGGTGTAGTAGCGTAGAAGAAACAAACAAACACAATATATCAAAATACAGCAAATTAGATCAAACAATGAATCAGGCTACAAGTACAGGTAAAACATGGAAGAAGGGCTTCAAACGACGTCAAAATGGAGCCCCTATTTCGCACCACTCTCTCATTGCTTGGGTGATTTGAAGCTACGCGCGTGAGCTTTCAAATTAAATGGCATGCCAAAAGATTATTGAAGAGGCAGATTTCATCGGAAGAACATGGAGGGTTTACCATCTCATATCCTCCGTATATTTTACTGTGTAAAATGCAGTATTCAGTATTTGCCAAGTGTTGCAGCACCAATGATCCAGTCATGTACAGTAGACAGATATATGGATGGATCCAGAAAGATACATTGATAGACGGGCAGACAGATAGGTAAATCTATAAATAGTTCGCTCGATCGAGAAATATGCAGAATAGAAATGCATACATACAGTCATACAATCATACAATTACATGCATATTTTAATGGGATTTCATGGGATTTAATGGTGATTTAATGGGATTTAATGGTGATTTAATGGGATTTACCACCAAAAAGATAGACAACTACTCTATCATGAGCTTCTTGGGATTTGACTTGTCTATCTTTTGTTTGTCACTCCCGACTGGACCACTTTCACCAGGGCTTCTGTTGGAGCTCACGATTGCCGAAACTCGTCTGAAGGGTGAAGGTCTGGCAAAATGGCAGATCGCTTAATATTCTGGGGTAATGCCATATCATGCCATATCATGCCATATCAATATATTACATGTATATATATTTATAGCATTTATACATACATATATGTGTATGCACAATTATGCATACATATATGATATACATATATTGATGCACATGTGTCGTAATATATTGTAATCAATGCATTGTACGTAGTATAGTGTGTATGTGTATATAACACTCATGTGGATGAATTATAACGACCTCAATGTGACATGACTGGAATGCTGGTCAGTAAGTGGAATCATCCCCAAATGGCCGGGAGGGTGCTTCCAGGTCAAGGGAACAGCAACAGGCTATTTTCAGATTCATTAGTGAACTATCTCAATTTAGCCGAAATTTGGCCAGATATAGTATTCATGAATTTACTGTCTGAATACTTCAAATAGTGTCTATAGAGTGCATCTATTTCATATAGTGTTTGTTTCGTACGTATCTATTTCATATGCTCGCGCAGTAAAACAATCGCGAGCATTTTTGCCACATGTGCCTTGAGCCAAGGATTCGGCAGGCTCAGTCATGTACCACTCTGCCATCGATATTTTTGACGCCATGGCAGTGGGAGAGCCCAGCATAGCCTAGCCACATCCAGCCACCGGGATGGATGATCCGCAAAAAGCCGTGATGGATACCATTGATTTCGATGGTCAATTGATATGTCAAAACCATAGTTTTCTCATCTTTCCTCTAAATTGATGTATATTATTGTATATTGATATTCCCTTAAAGTCATCCAATGGTGCAAGTTTGGCCCGTTACTTGGGGTGCTGTCGGGGCTATTTATCGGTACCCTCTGGCCCTGTGTATAGCTATCTAAGTTGGGAAATCATCGAAATATGGACGATGTTCCTTTTCAAGCTCTTAAACTACCAAGGGATATAGATATAGTTGGCTAGTTATATTCCCTACCATATCCCCTATTCATATCCCATTCACCGGCCATTCATGAATAAACCATGGATACCCCTTCAGTAAAACTAACAAAGTTATGGATATCGGAGGGTGTATCGCATGTATCGCTTTGAGTGGATTATAAATCGGCCCAAGTACAGATGATTTAACCCATTTTTCCCAACCTTTCACGGTGGACCTGGTGGACTTAGACGGTGCAGAGCTTCAAGGGATTGCCATTGACCAGTGCGCGGCTGGGCAGCAGGTGAGTTTCCGTCGAACATCGTTTCATTTGGCAGGTGAAGCTGGCACAAAAATGGGAATTTACATCATATGATTTGATATTACTTCAAGTTGCTTAATAATATGATTGACTCGTGAACACTGATGCAAAATGAGTGGTAATCCGAGGCATATCGTTATTTGCAGTGTGTGGTGATGAAGCATCACTCCCTCACAGTTCCCCGCTCTCCACATGTACCGAGTTGATTTTGTTCGGCAAGGTTAAACCATCCTAAACCCGCCAGCCGGAGTTGTCCAGGAATAACGTTTAAAAAACACCTACAGTATATATATATATTATATGAATATACCCCAAAACCCAATGGTTTAGAAGTTTAGAATGCCTCAAAGGCTTATCCCCATTGAAGTCTCTAGCTAAGTCTACCTCCATTGCTGGGCCACCGCTCGTCGCATTCCGAGGACGGTGCAAGGCATCTTGTTGGACGATCACAGTGATCGAGTGATTCAGCTCTTTGCTGGCGTGCTGGCACAGGCAGGGCGGCAGGCCCAAACATCAGAAGATGCATTTTTTACTAAGGAAACAACAAGAACCACTAGTAGAAAACTATCATGTTTTTTGTATGGAACGTATGGGAAAAGTTATTGTTTCATGATCTGTACATGGATGTATTTCCGGAAATTCTAAGAGCAAACTGGTCTGTAAATTGATAGAGCATGATAGAACATGGAGATGCTGAGGGCGGATATATGCAATAACATATATATATATACAGTATATATATATATATCTGGCTGGTGGTTTGGAATATATATATATATACATTTAAGATAGATGCGGTCAGTCAGTCAGTTTAGTTTACCCGAGGCTATAGGAGTCCATGTGCAACCGAGCAGCAATTTGTGCTGATTGACGCTTCCATCTGAGTATGTACTGACCAAAAATAAAGAGAATCAATTCAATGGAAAAACCAGTGCATAACCGCATAACCCAAGAATAATGCTTGGTTCACTGTTTGTAGGAAGTGATCTAGGCAATAGTAACTTAGTTAAGTATAGTAAAGTAGTAACTTGCAATAAGTAGCTAGTCTTACCGTGAAATGGACCTTGCTTGCCCACCTTCCAATGCTGGTTGGAGACTTGGAAAAGGGAATGATCCCTTCATATCCCAGGCCAGTCGCGAGAGCAAAAACGGCGCCACACCGGAGGAGTTTAAGGTGGCAAACCTCGCTTGACGATGGGAAATCACCAATTGTTACACGCGCGCAGCCGCGCAGCCCGCACCAACAATCTTTGTAAGACTAGACATTCCCTGGGGATCGTTCATTGCCGTTTTACCGTCGAGTACCAGAGGATAACAGTGGCATTTTTGGGAATTATGTTTTTTCCGTTCTGTTTTTTTTTATGTCTGTTTCCCTGCTTCTTTGCTTTTCTGCTTCTATGATGTTTGCTTTTCTGCTTTTCCCTGCTTCTCTGCTTTTGTAGTTCTTTGCTTCTCTGCTTCTCCATTTTTTGTTTCTCTGATCACCAAAAAAGAACAAAACGGAAAACAAAAACAAAACAATTCTGGACCCCAATGTAAACCTCGGTAGTTTTGGTGAATGAAAGGGAACACCAAAACAACCAAACAAGAGATACTGGATAAACGGGATAGTAGATGTATTCAGTAAAGATACTATAGTACTATTGGTCCATTGATATGTGGGTTTGCCCAAAAACAGGGCACCTATCAGTGTTCATCATCACTTTCCCAATGATTTGTTGGCAGTTGTGGGGTGTAGCCTATTCCTGGAGGTACTGGATTATATCCAAATGATGGCGACCTCACATAAATTGTACTTTCCAATGGTTTCTATTATGAGACTCATCCTCAAAGTTGCTCTGACCATCTATTAGTGGTGTGTGAATTGCAACATTGTTGGGTGATTCGGATTCCCGGGGGCTTCCTGGAGGTTCCCGGTCTCAATGTGTCGCCCTCACTGCAAACCCTGCAGCTTTCCCTGTAGATGCTCCCTTAAGATCCGTAAGTTGGCCGAGCCATGATATTGCGCCAGCAGATGTTTGATAGACGGATAGATAGATGATGATACATATAAATAACCAAGTATATATATATACATACATATTTATAGTATATGTATATGTATAATTATAAAATATAGATAATATACTTAAATCGACCAAATATAGAACATATGTAATACATACATGTGTTTTAATGATATTTCACACCTAAACGATTACATATATATATAGAAGCATCAACAAAGACTCCGCATCGTAACCGTTACTAACCGTTACGGTTTTTCCGCCTCTGTTCAGCTCCATCTTCTGGACTGTTTGCTCCCGCACGCGGAGCGCAAGCTGCGGCGGAGGCACTGCAGTGGGGATGTTTCAAAAAATATTGGTCAAACTATTCTTTGGGGGACATTGGCAAAATAGGATCTGCCAACTCATCAACACTTGTAGCCATTTGCTAATTATTTCAACGGAGACATTGATGTTGAAGGCAGTTTTTTCAAGTTTTGGGGCTACCTTATCAACCCAACCCATCAAGAACAGAGGGATTCCTGCATAAATCCCTGGTGGCGTGTGCGATCAGGTGGATGAGGGTGAATGATTTGTCACATGCCTTCATTTTGGACGCATCTACCATCATCTACCTATTTCCAGGATGCATACTGGCGTATATTTTATCTAGGAATTTAACTATCTATGTCTATGTGTATACATATATATATATAAATACACATATGTATATATATATATATTGTAACGATATGTAATGATGTTCATCCTGATACTCTGTAGGAATGCCTAATGCCCCCCATTCTTGGGAGGTACATCTACTCATCTCCCATGGTTTCATGCGATTTGTTTCCCTTAAATCAATCGAGCTGAAGCATAAAATTTGTTCAGTCAACCCTCAGCGTCAGGCAGAAACACATTGACACAGGCTTGGCCTATGGCAAGGACGAGATTGCAACTGTGTTGGTTGTTGGTACATTAAAACCGGCAAATCAGGGGGTTGAACCAACAAACATGAACATGTTACAGTAACCATTAAAAGGCCAAAGGCCTTTATACGGTATGGTATTGACATGTATTGACCATGCTGCTAGCTCCGAAATTGTGGTTATTAACAACCCTAGCAGCAGGAAAGTCGCGGTGTCGCGGATCCGTCGGCAGATGTGGCAGGACATCTATCGTTTGCCCGTCCTGACCGAAAATGCCGACGAAGAAGAGGCTGAAGATGAGGCCTGGCCGGAGCCTTCCGATGTTTGAGTTGTCCGGCAAGATTAGTATAGTTTTTACATGTTTTTACATGCATTATATGATGCTAGATGCATGTTTACGGGGATACGTACTTACATACAGACATAGAGACATACAAAGCTACATAGCTGCCACATAGCTACATAGCTAACTACCTGCCTACCTGCCTGCCTATCTACCTAATTACTGTACCTACATACTCACATACTCACATACATACTGACTGATTTACTTCCGTGCTTCCTTTCTATCCTTGCTTCCTTGATTCCTTGCTGCTTTGCTTCCTTGCCTAATTACTTGCTTACTTGCTTACTTACTTACAGACATACATATTCACACATACATAGATACACACATTCAGATACACGCATACACATATACATGTAACAGATTCATAGACAAGCACAGTAGGATATTCCTGAGAGTATCATCTGCAGAAATGGCCATGCTCATTTTGGCACTCATGGCTGCAATCGAAACCAGATGTTGTGTGTGGTTTGAAACCACCACACCATGATATATTACCCTCCAGGAGTCAAACATGGCAATGGCAAATCCCCCTATGAATGGAGGTTTTAATGGACATAATTTTTCCCACCTGCCAGGTGAAGGTCTCTAGATTTTAGCAAAGGAGCAACTCCTTCCTTCCTTCCTTCCTTCCTTCCTTCCTTCCTTCCTTCCTTCCTTCACTCGGCGCCTGGGCCCGAACACCATATCGCGAGCTCCGGATGCTGTGGGCCACGCCTGGACCCGCACGCCATGTCGCCAGCTCCGGATGCTCGCCTGGGCCCGAACACATGCCAGAGAGAATATGCCAAGCAGAATGTCAGAATTTGTGTTAGATAGAATGCCAGAATGAATGCCTGAAAAGGTGCCAGGTAGAATGCTAGAATAGATGCCAACAAAAAATGTCAGAATAGATGCCAGATAGAATGCCAGATAGAATGTCAGAATATATGCTAGAAAATACGTCAAAATAGATGCCAGGTAAAATGTTAGAATGTATGCCATAATTACATACTTCCAGATGATATGTCAGAAACCATTTTGAATAGTGTGGATCACTCATTTTGTCAGAGTTTCTTTAGTTTTCATGTTTGATTGCCGCAGAGTATATTGTGATATCAGTCTATTCTTGTCAAGCCACTGGCACTGTAAGAAACCCAGCGAGCCAAACATGCCTCAAAGGAGTCACAGAAGGCACCCCCATACAGAAGGCGATTTGGCTCCAAGGGTATGTTTGATGTGTATGGGAAGTACCCAAGTTGGTGAACCATTTGACCATTCAGTCGCTTTAGGAACCCTCCCTCTCAGTACATTCCTTGGTTGTACACCACGCTTTGCCTCATGCTGAAGCTAGTACGTTTCACGACCCTGTGAGTCATTTACGAACTGAAATCATTAGGTATCATGGTTCGAACATTTACCAACAGTCATTTTTTGAGCCTCTCTTCTCAAAACGGGGTACTCCCAAATTTCATATATATAGTTGGTGATCATTTTACCCACTAAATTGACAACTTTCTGGCATCCTCCATTGTTTGTGAAACCCATAAATTCGATTATTTAATCTTGTTTATGTGCCGAAAAGTCCCAAGGCCGCTGGTTTCTGTAATACTCATTGATTGCGGACAAACCCGTGCGAACACATACTGTTCGATATCACAATTGTCATGTACATGTCATCACATTCCCGGCACATTTCCCATGTCCACATGATTTCGCATCCATCCTGTGTGACCAAGCACTTGATGGTTATATAACAATTTAATATGGAACCGTTCATATCCCCGAAAATATCCATGGCAACTAGAACCACCATTGAAAAGTGATGTTGTCACACCCTTTTTTGGGACCGATCCCGAGCAGTTTTCAACTCCTGCGCGGTCTGTTTGTTTTCTGATAGTAGGGGTCATGGATTTGTTGAAGGTAACATGTTCACCGGATTTCTGATTATTTCACTCGATTTGTTGAAGGGAAAATGTTCACCGGAAACCATGGTTTGCCCCATCACAAATACGTTTTTCCGGTTTCAATTTGCAGAAATCCATTGATTGGCCAAAGATATTGTTGGCAAAACCTTGGAATCATCTCAACATATTCATGGTAAAACCTTGGAATCATGACATCATGACATCATGATACATCATGGCACATCATGACCTTGGAATCCCCTTCAGGACGTGGTGGCCGAGAGTCCCAAGGCCGACGATGCTCGGGGCGCCTTGCCCGGGCAAGGCGCCCCCTTTGGGATGGGCCGTCGTCTCGACGTCAACGACGGCCGTTTGAAGGGCAGAGTAGCTGGACTCCAAGGAGTTGGTGAACTGTTGGATTATTGGAGGATATAACATGATATACCCTCCGGTAATTTGTTACATAGCTATTGAAAATGGCCATTTATAGTTCATTTACCTACAAAAAATAGTGATTTTCCATAGCTATGTTAGTTTACCAGAGGGTAACTACAGTGAATGTTTATAAATGTTTATAGGTTAACAGTGATTGGAGGATAGTTACTATACATAGCGAATGTTTTTTGTTGGATGATTACTGTTAAACGTTTCTACGGTTAATGTTTTTGATGATATTTTTTACTACAGTGCATCTATAGTGAATGTGGTGATAAACCAAAGTAATTGTAACTAGGGGGGCCCCACCCTGGAGCAATAAATCTGGTGTTTAATGGGGGTGTAATGGGATGATGCTCCCTAATGCTGAGCGTTTTGGTCAGAAAACCACCAACCAGGTTGGTCCTGTTTGACCATAAACCACCCCAAAAAAAAGACAAAGCTTGGATTCCAGGCTGGAGGTGTAAGAAGCAACTGCAAACATGTAATCCTAAAAGGCAACGCAGTTTGGTTTGTAATTAGACGGGGGTATTCTGCAAAAGGTTACGCTGGGCGTGTTTTGGGAGATGTAAGAAAGCAGTCGATTTGCATGATGAAATCCCGTGTGTCAAGTCGCACTTGTTATCAAACTCTCCACTTGTCATCGTCAAATTCTTTCATTTTCATTTTCCAGGACCCCTTTAATTTTGCTCAACTCCAAACATCTCCAAACTGCCCAGGAAAATCTCTTGGGCCTTCCGGGTGCTCTTGCCTCCACCTTATCGATCCCTGGTTCCGCTGCCGGTTCTCGCATGGGCTCGCGGATGAGTTCGCGGGGGAGCACCCGAAGTCATGCCTCCTTCGCGCCTACCGGTAAGGAGGAGGCAGGGCTGGGGATGTCACCATTCTCTTTCTCGCAAGTCAATCAAATACTCTGCACCCATCATGGTGTGCGCACCACTTTGCAGGTATTTGCACAATTTTACACAAAGGTTTTGCGGGTATTAATCGTTTGTATCGCTGTTTTGGGGACCCCTCAGTGCCCCCCAATGAGTGTAAATCACCAGAGAGTGGAGTTATATATCCGGATAACAGGCGGAGCAACCTTGATTAATTTCAGGCTTGTGCCTGGATTGGCTTCAGCTGTTTCCTTTACATCAGTGTATTTTGCATATGTATGTATGTAATGTAATGCAATGTAATGTAATGTAGTGTAGTGTAATATAATGTATGTATGTATATACACACACACATACATATATATATATATATATATACAGTCCGGCCCGTGCCGGGGCGGAAGTTTCGATCGATAAACAACCCGCCGGGTTGGAAATGGGCCGAGTAAAAACAGCATTTTCATGTGACTGGCAAGAAGTCAATCATGCGTTTCGTAGTGTTTTTTCATGTTTTTATGTTGTCCATGAAGGTCAATTCTATTGCGATTTTCAATTTTCATTGGGATTTACTATATATAGTTGACATGTCGGAGTGCGAAAAAGGTATCTTTTGGGAAGTCAACGTGCCCAAAACCTCAGCGGCAGCCATTTTTTCCGGTGATCTCTACATCTTCGCTAAGTACGCACCTGTTTTCTCCAACAGGTCTTTTCCAACTACATTTGCCTCCCATCGCCACTGCCATGTGCGAACGTACGTCCAAATGAGGTCATTCAATTTCTCTTCGTTTTCTGGGCAAGATGTCAACTGATCGGGAACACTGGCAAGTACGTGGACGTTATTACCCCACCCCACCCCACCCCACCCCCCCCCACCCCACCCCTGCATGACGTGACGAATCTTCACGTACGCATGACGTATGTGCGCACGTGCAAGTGAACGTGCCGTGGCGTAACATCATGGGAGTGCGCAAGTACGTGAACGTTATTGCCCCACCCCACCCCACCCCTGCGTGACGTGACACATCTTCAACGTAGCATGACGTATGTGCGCACGTGCAAGTGAACGTGCCGTGGCGTAACATCATGGGAGTGAGCAAGTACGTGAACGTTATTGCCCCACCCCACCCCACCCCTGCGTGACGTGAACATCTTCAACGTAGCATACGTATGTGCGCCGTGCAAGTGAACGTGCCGTGGCGTAACATCATGGGAGCGCGCAAGTACGTGAACGTTATTGCCCACCCCACCCCACCCCACCCCACCCTGCGTGACGTGACACATCTTCAACGTAGCATGACGTGTGCGCACGTGCAAGTGAACGTGCCGTGGCGTAACATCATGGGAGTGCGCAAGTACGTGAACGTTATTACCTCACCCCACCCCTGCGTGATGTGACACATCTTCAACGTAGCATCACGAATGTGCGCACGTGCAAGTGAACGTGCCGTGGCGTAACATCATGGGAGTGCGCAAGTACGTGAACGTTATTACCCCACCCCACCCCACCCCACCCCTGCGTGACGTGACACATCTTCAACGTAGCATGACGTATGTGCGCACGTGCAAGTGAACGTGCCGTGGCGTAACATCATGGGAGCGCGCAAGTACGTGAACGTTATTACCCCACCCCACCCCACCCCACCCCAAGGAACATATATAAAAATGCCTAAAACGCTCGGACGGTTTTCAACCCGTAGGCATAAACAACTATAGGAGGAAGATGGCCTATAGGAAAGTTTTTGAAATGCAGAAGCAATGAACTGTTGAAGTTGTGAAGTGCCTTAACGAATCAAGAAACAGTGGTTGAGATTCCAGTGAATTGTAATTAATTAGTAATGAAGGACCCATGCACCACTGACCGAATGAACCAATGATCAATGAATGAATGAATGAATGAATCAATCAATCAATCAACCAATCAATCAATCAATCAATGAATCAAAGAATCAATGAACCAATGAACCAGTGAGTCATTGAATCAATGAATGGATGGAATGGAATGCAGGGGAATGGAATGGAATGGAATGGAACGAAACGAAACGAAATGAATGAATTAATGAGTCGATGAATCAATGAATCAGTGAATCAATGAATCGATGATGCAGTGAATCAATGAAACAGTGAACCAGTGAGTCAATGAATGAATGAGTCGCTGTAGTGAGTCAATGAATCAATGAATCACTGAACCGATGAATCAATGAAGTAATGAACCAATGATGAAACATTGAACCGATGAACCAATGAATTCATGAACGAACGAATCAACCCATCAACAAACGAATGAATCAATGACACAACGAACCACAATGAATCAGTGAAAGAGTGGGCAAATGAATAATGAATGAACCAATGAAACCATGAATCAGTAACGAATCAGGGAACCAATGAACCAATGAACCAATGAAACAATGAATGATCGAATGAACGAATGAACAAATGAATGAACTGATGGGTGGATGGATGGATGGATGGATGGGTGGATGGGGGGGGGTGGGTGGGGGGGTTGGTGGATGGGTTGGATGGGTGGATGGGTGGAGGGTGGATGGATGGGTTGGGGGATGGGTGGATGGGTGGATGGGTGAATGTGTGGATGGGTGGATGGGTGGATGGATGGATGGATGGATGGGTGGGTGGATGGGCAAGCTACATTTCTTTGCTGAGCTACTTCTTCACTGAGGGAGGCCTCTTAGCTGAGGCACCTCTTCTCTTCTGAGCAGCCACTTATCTGGGCTACTCGTACATCGGCTCTGAACTACCTCTTCTGTAACTTCTACAACCCAATTCTTCTCTTCGCACAGCCAGCACAGTGCGTTTTGCAACCTCCAGCTGCAATTCCGAATAGCACAAGAGTAGCACATGGTGAAAAACTACCTTTCGCGCAGCTTTTACGTGCTTTTACAACGTGTTTAGCAACCTCCAGCTGCAATCCCGCTACCAGGAGCGTCGCAGCATCACCCATGCTTTTTGCTGCGCGCAGCCGTGCCAATGCGTTTTGTCGCAACCGGCTGCAAACCCGCATAGCAGGAGCAGCGCACGAAATCGACCAACGTTGGCGCAGGGCTGACAATGGGGACGATTCCGTGCTACCCTTGTTTCGCCTGATTTTTTTTTTGTAAAATCGAGCTCTCGCTACAGTTCTTCGTGCGCATTTTACCGACCTCATCTTCGAAAAGTGCTTCGAGACCGCAAGTTTTCAAACGTTTTGATGTGCAAATCGAGCTCTCGCTACAGTCCTGTGCGCTTTTTGACGGCAACTTTCCCGGATCGAAGCGCGAAACCGCGGAGACAGACACCCTACTTCGGCGACCGCAGGAGCCACACTGCCGGAAAAAAAGCAGTGTTTCGCATGAATTCGCAAGCTTCCAAACCGTTACTCTCCTCTACTGCTTCCGCTCGCGAACGGCTTTTGCTGCCTATGTTGAGGGCATGATGAGAAGACTGATGAAGACTGCCCCTGGACATTCGTCCGTAACTCGCAAGTTTTCGAACTAAACTGCCTTCAGAATGGAGGATCATCAAAACCGTTGGGATTTTACTAAACTGGTCATCCATGACTTGGATGGTTTTGGGGTACCCCATGACTTAGGAAACTTCCATATGTAGAAACCAAGTGGCTTGTGGATTCCGATGTCCCAGTTAACTCCCACATCTGAACGTTGGCCCAACCACCAACCCAATAATTAATTAAGCCATAGCATGCCATTTTCCATTTGGCGGGTTGTTGTTGTTGTTGTTGTTGTTCCTGTTGCTGTTGCTGTTCCTGTTGCTGCTGCTGCTGTTGCTGCTGCTGCTGTTGCTGCTGCTGCTGTTGTTGTTGCTGCTGCTGTTGTTGTTACCAACCTGTTTGGACATGTCTGTTTGTCATGGACAGCAAAGAACAGCAATGTATCTCAGAGTACACAGGCTTGGATGAACACATTCTTTTTGTCAAGAATTGTAGCCGTTGTGCTGGTAATGTGGTACACTCCAAAAAATCGCCCCCAGTATCATGGGAAATGGGTGTGTATCAAAAAGAAAACTGGGTGATTAGAGCTGCTCACGTCCGGTTTGTCTCCCAAAGCCAAGCAGCTGGGACTGGGCCTGTTGACCGGAGATCCCGAGGTGAGATAGAAAAAGGTCCGATATCCCAGGGTTGTAGGTAATTTTTGTTATCAGCTTTTGTTATTTCAATAGATATAAATCACGGAATTGATGCCAAGAATAACATGTCCACACATATTGTTTTTGGATGGTTTTGGATGTTTTGGTGCATGCACACTACATGTCAATCATTTTTGTCACTTCCATTTTATTTTTTAGAAATATGCATCACATGCATTTCATGTTGCCATCCAGTAAGTTAACATGAACCCTGAGCATAGCCGTCTTTTAGTGGAGCCTAATCTTCCAACCCGCAACTCATTGCAGGAGCTGTGTTGGGGGGATGGTAAGCAGCACGCAAAATATGCATTTGTTCACCAAGAACAGATATTTTTCACCTACGCTCCACATCATTCTATTCAGTACAGGGTGTAGGAACGCGAGAAAACCAATGCAAGAGGATGACCTGGTTTTCAAATTCTGGTGCTATCCTCTTGAGAATGGCCAAAAACGTCATCATCATATATAATCATATATATATAATTACACCATATGGATCCAAAACCCTTCCTCAGAAGGAATTTGAAGTCCTGAATATACCCCAAACACTTTCGAACAAGGCACGGCTGGATCCATAGGAACACACTCCTATATCATATATATATACACATACAATTAATGGGTTTTTAATGGTATATATACATCATATATCCTCATGATATCCTATTTAATTCCATAGGGATATATATATATATATATAGGTTCAAACATATGATGACATATATACATATACATTCACGTTTGAATACATTTACATATGCATGGCATATACATTTGCATATACATATACATATTCATAATAATATTGATATTCATATTCATTTTCATATACATATACATATACATACATGTGCACATACACATGCACATGCACATATACATTATACATACATACATACATGCATGCATGCATGCATGCATGCTTGCATACATACAGTCATACTGTACATACATACATACATGCATGCATACATACATACATACACTCATACAAACAAACAAACATACATACATACATACATACAGACATGCATACATACATAGATACATCGATACATAGATACATAGATACATAGATACATATATACATACATAGATACATAGATACATAGATACATAGATACATAGATAGGTAGATAAATAGATAGATAGATAGGTAGATAAATAGATAGATAGATAGATAGATAAGATAGATAGATAGATAGATAGATAGATAGATAGATAGATAGATAGATAGATAGATAGATAGATAGACACATAGATGCACAGATACATATATACATACATAGATACATACATACATGCATACATACATACCTACCTACCTACCTACATACATACATACATGAATAATGATGTACTTATATATTTATTTATTTATTTATTTTTCACACACACACCATATATCCCCATGAGATCCCATGAAAAATCCAGTATATATATATATTTATATGTGTGTGTGTTTTTTTTTCTCTCTCTCTCTCTCTCTCTCCATAACCCGTGAGGAAGTCCAAGAGTTTGAAGTCGATGACCCTCCTCCGCGTGAAGAGGTGAGGTTTTAAAAACAGGGCATCTGAAGTGGGTAACCTGGCACAAAATAAACGATTTACCCGGTAATTTAACAGTTCGCTATTGAAAATAAACCATTTGTAGGTTATTTACCTACTCAAACTAGTGATTTTCTATATTAAATGAGCAGTTTGCCATTGAAAATGGCCACAGAAATAGTTGATTTACCCATAAAAACAATATTTTCCATAGTTTTTTGTATGTCTACCAGAGGGTAAGCGATTTATTTTGGACTCGGACACCTTTGGGATATGTATGATTAACAGGAACTAACAAATTTTACTCCGATCGCCTTGGGGGGAGTTCACATGGAGTCATGGGATGTGCCATTCCAATTGGTAAGCGAACTGGTTTCCGGTTCATAAAAACCCATTGTATGCTCATGGTTTCATCCCAGTAAACCCCCCGCAGATTCACCTGGGATGCACCGCAGGGCTATCGGACGGATTATTACAACATCCGCCGCTCCTGGATTTGGTCCGATGCCATCAGCCGCTTGACGCTACGCGACTGTGGAAGTCTACCATTCACTGGATTGGAAGGAAAATCTAAAGGAACTCCAGGCTCTTGCAATGAAATACATGGTTTTCCATGGTTTTCCATGGTTTTCCGGCACATTTATTTCATCAATAATTTGACGATAGTATAGTATCATAGAGTTTGGTAGCCTTTGACGAATCCCTGTATCCGAAACGAATTTGTTCTTGCGGTTGCATTCAACTCTTAGGCCATTGTCAGCAGGTCGCTATATTTCAACTGCAGATGTGCCATGATGTGATTGAAATCTCATATTCAATGTGCCATATAACTGCAGATGTGCCAATAATCATCCATAAACATTTCATAGTGACTGAATATGGATGTTTATGGCATCACAAGCCACAAGACATGAGTGTTGGAGTGGCCCCAACTGCCTCCCAGCATGGGATGGGTACATTGAACTTACAACATGACCGGTTTTACTTGGTGCGGTTTCTGGAAGTCTTACTGTATTTTGGGCCCATGTTTGCACGCAATTGCTTGGTGCAATCATGTTTCACAATTTTCATTGGTCAGGCCCACCAATCATTCGTCGAAGCCCACTGACAGCCACAGGCACGCACTCAGAGGAAGAGGAAGAAGATCGGAAGGCGCAGACATGGTGCGTCCAATCGACTGGATTAATTAAAGGTTGGTAGATAGGCTGATTTGTAACCGTACTTTGGGATAAATATAAACTAATATAATATAGTCCGACAGCGTAAATTTATATAAATTCCACTACTTTTTTTTGTGGGCTACTTAGGGTTGACTGTATCACACAGGGAATCACAGGGATACTTTGCCACTAAAATGATAGGTTCATGATTAAAAAACAATCCGATGTCGCATCAATCCTGGTTGATTTCAGATCAGCCGCGATACGGACCTTTTTTATGTTTTCAGTCAGTGATGTCTTCCTTGACGTCAAGGATCCATCGTGGATATAATATATCTAGGAGTTTTAAAGGTAGATCCTGCAACATTTCTCCATTAATTACCAATGAATCCAAGGGCAGGAGCCAGGACTACTGTATGTCACTTGCGGCTGCTCCCGGTGAAGGATGACATAGTGCGGAGTGTTGTTTTGATCTCTTGGTCGATGGTTTCCCAACAAAGGGGTCTCATGAATCATGAAGAAGGGACATCGATTTGCCTGCTGACTGGTAATTTCACATAGCCATGGAAAATCATAGTTGATCTGTAAATATTAGCCTACAACCGGGCCATGTTCCATGGCTATGTAAAAATTCATCGACTCGGTGACCCTGACCCAATCCAGCTCGCCGTCACAGGGGCAATCTGAAGAGGATGCTGCTTGCCTCGATGTTAAGGGTTGGGACCAACACCGAGAGATCCCTGATGGATTCTTCCCCAGAAAATCTGCGAAATTTGCTCATTATGTAAGTGATAAAAAAAAGCAATGTAAACTCCGATGTTCAGTCAAGGTTCTTAAAAAATGGTGATATTCTACTACCGCGTTGGAATACCAGAGAATAAATGCCCTTTGGAAGCTGTTTCCCCTCTGACACTGCTATAGATACATAATGTACATATATATATATGTACACGGAACATGGAATCCCACATAATCCCACGTGTTTCATTCGAAAAGCAACTGGTTGGCTTTATGTTTTCTAAAACCTTTGGAGAAAGTTCGTCAGAGAATCTTCGGATTCTTTGGCAATAGTACTCGTATGAGGCAATGCTGGTTAAACCATGTTGAGCCCCTATGTTTGATGGTTAAAGCCACCATGTTTGATGGTTGAAACCCTCAAAGACTCCTAGAACTTCTACCCTTCAGAAGCCATCATGAACCCAACCTCCCAGGCCCTCTATGCTCACACGTTGCTTGGCATCATGACCTCGTAACCACAATATAAATGATGGTTGAGATTGGCTTCCCCCCAAAAATTCTAAAGAATGAAGGTTTCTGAATCACAGTTATTTGGACCAAGTTATATCAGCTATGGTTTTAAGCACGGTCAATTGTTAGTTTGTTTCCATGGTTTATCTAGGCGCACCGTTGCCGTATGGCATCCCTTGTTGTGTTTTTTTTGCCAGAACCACCTGAAAATGACCACAGTGGTTTGTTCGTGGTTGGTTGTTTCAATATGTTTCAATGTGTGTTCTGAAAAATCCGAGCTTCGGATGATGTAATATGTGGTAGAAACCATTCGCCACTGCGGGTAAAAGGCTGTTGATATTCATCCCATCTTGACGGGATTTGACGGGCATGATGATATCAGATGTTCAAGGGGATGTAACATGATCAACATTGGATGAACCGGCATTCATGCCTACATAGCCTATACCCCATCCCATGTTTCTTCTCTGGTTTGAAACGTTGCTTGACATTGCTTGACCCTCGGAATGGGGCCAACTTCGCCGGATCCAGATTTGGGATTGTCTAATATGAGGGAATGCCGCTAAAACTGCAATATCAATAGCGGCCATTGTAATAAGAATCACTTGATTTCCCCGTTGTTTCTATATTCATTATGAATATTGTGCGTAGCTAATCCCGCTTTTATATTCATAATATGTATATATCCTTGTTATTTCATGTTATTTCGGTATTGTGCATGTAAACCAATCCCAACTTGATTTTTTACATGTATACCTATGATATCCTCAGATTTGATATCCATTGAGTTGTGAGAGCCGATGCTCTCAAGGTGCATGGTCTCGAAAGGCGAGTACCTCACCAGTACCTTGGAAAAAATCCACCAGAAATTTCAATGCGCCGGGTGCTTAAGCCAGAAACATGGCAGCAACATGGAGATTTGACACCAGAATTTGTGAGTTTAAGCAACACCAACTGGACTGATTGGTGGTGACTGGAACATGAATTTTATATAGTTTTATGACTTTCCATGTAATTATTGGGAATTTCATCATCCCAACTGTTACTCACTCCATCATTTTTCAGAGGGGTAGGGCTCAACCACCAAGCAGTGGAGGTTTCGATGGGGGAAATGGGCGGTGAAACATGGCGGCGGAGCTTCAGCGGATGGCGAAACATCAAAAGGCTGATGTTTGTTGCTGCACATCGCGGCTTGATGTATAATATATATATTTATATGTATATACCATTATTAAACACACACACACACATATATATATATCTTATACATAGTACATACAATTTTAAGAATAACTAAACCATCTACTTATATATATATATATATATGTGTGTGTGTTTTATATACATATACATGTACGTGTCGATTCGATATGTCCAAAATGCTCTTGGTTAGCCATGGGGGTCTCACCCATCGAATTGCTGTTCATGTCGATAGCCCAATCAGAACAGATCATGATCCAATTCGACCAAGACCAATTATGGTATTTTTTTGTTGTAAACTACTCATTTTTTTGAAGAAATAAAACCCAATCCAATAGGAACGGGAAAGTCATGCGGCGACTCCACCGGCTTAGCCATGCATCATCAATATGGGTGTGTCATGGTGTGTCTGAAAATGGGGTATACCATGGTATACCACCAGATGGCACTTAAATGGAGAACATGATGAGAAAAATATGTTTATAATTCATCGTTTCGGGCACACATAATATCAATGATATCAAGGACCATTATCCTGCATTCTGCTAGTGACGACTCAGCGAAGCCACTCAATTTTTGTTGCCTCTGAAACCTTCTCACCCCATTCAAATGTTTTGGGCCCAGCACGGATGTTTGGTGCACAATGAACCCACCTATAACCTTCGTTTTCTTTGGACTGTTTATTTCTTACAGCAGTTGAAATAACATCGAGTAAACAAATAAATGACCATCAAATATATAAAGATAAGTCTTTTGATTGTAATTCAACATAGCTATGGAAAATCATTGTTTTCAAATAGGTGAACCATGGCCCATTCAATGGGCACATGGCCCGTCCAACTCGACGCTTCGAGGTATGTTCCTGGAACCTGAGATCATTCAGATGGTCTGGATGCAGCTTGGCATCGGGTTTTTATTTGTGGAAACCAGTGGGAAAAAATGCAGGAAACCCGGAAACCCTAAACGGTTATTTAACAGTTTGTGAACTGGAAAATCACCATTTTTAATTGGTAATTTTCCATAGTTATGTCAAATTACCGGAGGGTATATTTGATGGTAAACCAAAACATGTTTTCCTGTAGATTGTCCCTTAAACCAATCCATGGAGCAGAGGCAGCAATTGAACAGTGTGCTGGGGAAAATGGCCGAGTTAGTTCAATGGTTGACTATCAAAACAATATCAATTGTTATAACATGTTATAAGTATTATGATAAACTCCCAGAGGGTCGATGTAATGTTGACCCAGTTACCATCCCCCCAAATAGATATAGAAAGAGAAGGTCTAGTGGCGTCGGCTATGCCCTTTTTTTTTCGGATATTGTATCCACTACGGTCATCTATGGTCCCTTTGTCATAGTCATGACCCCAAGCAATGGTTGGCGACACGGAGATGGTGTCGCGGCCTCACTCGATCGCAGAATGATTTTTTTCGTTGGCGAGGATCAACCCCGATGTCTTTCATTGGGACTTATCATAGAATGATTCAAGAACAATCACTATTGATATGGGAGTTTCCAGAAATGGGGGGTAATATCTTAAAATCCCTTAAATGGATGGTTTCTTTGGAAAATCCCATGAATGGATGATGACTGGGGGTACCCCCATTTTAGAAAACCTCGTTCCGGCGTCCCATATTGGCCTGCCAAGTTACTGGAGGCTTGTTTGTCTTCATGGATGGGATGATCTCTGCGATTAAAACAGTCATAGCAAGAATCTAAGAACCTGTTCAAACCCCCACATGAATATATATACATATTAATATACATATATATATAAAAAAGAATTATACATGTATAATAACATGAATATATATATATATATATATACATATTAATATACATATATATATATGTTATACTAAAATTGGATTTTAAAAAAGAGAAACCCATCTTTAATGATATCCGTTAATATCCATTATAACTGTTATAAAATCAACGATATCTCCATATCCACGATCCATTCGTAGCTTGATCTTCACCTACTGGCCACCAGGTATTTCGATAGATTTGAATATTTGTCCGGAGCTCGGGGTGGGCGTGTCCTTCGACCACCGCGGAAATGGAAGCCTCACCCGGTTCGGGAAAAAATCCATGAACTGACATACTGTAAAAAGAATCAAAAGGGTTCAAATGTATATATCGAATATATAATCATATCGTTTCCATGATCATGATCAGCTTCGATTTTTTGGACAAACAGCAGAACATGTGATGTCTTCCTTTGGTTTAAATCGATTCAATCCAGCTCGTGCAGCTCGACATTCACATCACCAATGAACTGACCCACTGAATCCCTAGGGTGCCCCCAGTGAGTGAATTTCTGTCTACATATCCATGCATGTAAGCCTTTTGAATCCTTTAGATATAGACTTGGTAGTTGCACTGTTGCACCCTACTTTGGGTAAACATGATACAACTAACATGGATGTGGAAAACAATGGAAAACCATGGAAAACCAATGGTTTCCCAAGGAAAATAATCTATCAATGCGGGTTTCCCACATCTATGTCAGTTTACTGTAGGGTGATTTTGAAACAGTTGATGGACATCATTCCTAATGAGGAGTTCAGCTTGCACGTCTTCGTTGGATTAGTTGAAGGGAGGATTTGCAAGGAACCCACTATCATAGCCTTACAGGAAAGATGGATTCCTTGTAGATTTTCTCAAACACATCTCACAAAAATTCGGTCTTCATGTCGTTTTTTTTCCAGAGTGGATGACTAGAACATTTGCAGGAAAGCCTTCTATTTAGATCCATTCATGGCAAGAACTAGACAGAACCACGGTAAGAAACATGGTTTCTGGCAGATTTTCCCCTTAGACGCCATGCGTCCCGAGGTTTAGCGTCTATATGGACACCCCCACCAACTCTTTGATCACACCGGGGGCAAGTGATGGCCACATGTCCAACGAGGCGCTGAACAAAAATGATCACCGTCCCATCAATGGTTTCGTCATGGGAGTAGCCCAATAGCTGGGTTTATTTCATGGAACATGCCATGAAAATAACAGGGATTTAGGAGGGGTACCCCATGGTACCCCTGTTTCAGGACACCTCCAAAGAACCATGTTTTCTTGATAATGGGATATGTTCCCGTTATTAGCAAATGACATGTTACCATAGATGGGTATAGAGCTTATCAGCCTGTCATTTTCCCATGACATATTACCCTTCGAAAAAGGGGTGTTTCTAAAAATGGGGGACCCCCTTGTCACCGCTTGTCACCATAGGTTCCTTTTTCGACTTGTCATGGTCCAATGCCTTGGATTGTTCATTCCGATGTTGCAGAGGGGCATCTTAATTTTGGATGAATGGTTTATCTGTTTATGACCTTGGGGTGTACAGCCATGAAAAACATGAAGTGTGGGTACCTAAGATTGGAGATGAAGTGTTTCTTTATTCTTTTCTTGGTTGCAGTTGCAATCCTCTTGAATTCAGGTCTATCCAGGTCCATCCGGCCCCAAATGTTCGGCCCAGTTCTGGCCCCCGTCTTCCACAGGCATTTCTGCAGTTCTGCATTGATTTTCAGCTCTTTCCTCAGATCATCGACTTCAACTCTTTGACCGATTGCCGGCGGTTTTGGGAACCCTGGGAAATGTTTCTTCATCCTTTGCCTCCCCCAAAAAATGAATAATCAAGTACAAAACCATGGTTTATGTAAATCAATGTCAGGGACATATGCATTGTGGATCATTATGGAATATTGTTGATAGTCCCATATTCTCATTTTTTATGGGAATCCAACCTACATTTTTTACTATGGTTGAAGAACAAGAACGACCAACGGCACTTCTTTTGGCTCCGGACGGATTCTCGCCGCAGCCTTAGTCAAGCCCTAAGAAAGCACGGGCAGTAGATGTCACTGGGGATTTGTGTTGGTCATATTATTTGGGTCAACCAATGGTAAAATAATGTACTAATTAACCAGCTAAAAAGTAGATCCTTTTGGCAGGTAGCTAAGATTCACCATGGTATGTTTTGGTCATGTTTATTATTATCAATACATAGTGTTTTTAATGTTGGTAAAACAACAATAAAACACTCGTGTGTTGATGGTTTATACCACCTATTTATCATAAATTGAGTGTGGTTTGCTATTTCTTTACTAACATATACTAACATGAATATGTACTGGTCATGTTAATTATTATCATCCTTGTTATCAATACGTATGTTTGCTATTATTAGTATCATTATTACTACATCTCTGTTCTATCCTATTTGTTGTGTCCAATATGATGCCCAGCCACCATTATTGAAAGACTCGGCGGTGGAAGCCGGTGCCAGCTCTGACTAAAACCATGGGGGTTTCCTAAAATTGCTGATGAGCCCTGGAGGGGAAAACGCGCAAACAACTCATGAAAATGGATGATTTAGGGGTAACCATGGGTAACCCACATGAGGAAAAAGATAACCCCCCGGTAAAAAAAACTCATGCTGTAAGAAAACAAAGACTCCTCAAATTTACAATGAATGGTTCCGAATCACCCCTGGGTCTACACTCCATGCACTCATTACAGCAACCCAAACACGATTTTTCCAAAACCTACTCTGCAAAATAATATCGCATAAATTTCATTCTGTTGTCAGCATATTGCCAAGCCCGGATTTTTCCAAAACACATATGACTATTAGTTGTGGGTGTAGCACCCTCCAAATTATTTTCTAAATCATTATTTGAATGCGCACCCATCCAATTTTCATAGACTGGGGGTTATTGTTACTTTTAGATTTGGTTTAACATGCATTCTTCTCTAAACTAACATGATGATTTGATGTCCCCACGTGCAGGAATTGCTACTACCAGTCAGCTGAGAGCATCATCGAACTCACGCGCGAAGAGATCAAGAAATGCACCGCGACGTTGGAAAGCCGCGGTTGTGGTTCGGTGAGAGAGCTAGGTCCTGATGAAAGTTACCTGGTCTGGGTAAAACTTAGGGGTAGTGGGTAAATCCCATGAAACATGGTGATTTGGTTGGTTTCAAAAACCAAATGTCGCCTTTCTAAATGTTTTGCTGTTCCAGGAATAGTGCAAACCAGCAAATCTGAGAGCTACATAGATATAGAATGATATAGAGTCAAGTAAAAAGTGTTGTGGGGGAACGACATTTCCAGTATAGTCATTTTGCCCATGATGGGACTGAGCTCAGAATGACCCACCAGGGGCGTATTGTTTGCGGTGAAGAATCTTACACCCACACCTCCAGGCAATAGTTCTTGCTTGCGGGTGCTTGCGGTACATATTTATCTACACACATGCACAGGTGACCATATTTATTACTATAATAATTATTATTTATTTATTGCTATTATATTATTAGTACTACTATTATTATACGCAGTATATTTACATTATGCCAGGGGTAGCTAAATCAGTTAATATTAACAGTCTAGAAAAACTGGTTTGACTTTGGATTTCTTCATTTTGGGTTCTCGACTGGGCTGCCATGGCGCCACTTCAGGTACTCACAAAGCCCAGGGCTCAGCGCGTCCCGGTGTCCTTGGTGAATGAATTGCTGAGACTCATGGATGTTTTTGGATATGTTTGGTCCGCATATCATAAAAGTGAACCTATGCTTTGTTTGGGACCTTTATAAATTCTATGACTTTCGTGATTCCGGATGATTTGCCGAACGAATTGATGTCAATGGTGCTTCGTTCAAGTCACCCCCAATTCCTGGGGCTTATCCCATTTGTATTCGTGGCTAGAGGCCATGGTTGCAACCATAGATCAGGGCTCCAACACTCAACTGGATCCATGTCTTGGGAAGATATCATGTGTGACGCTAAAAAAATGTATTACCCTCCGGTAATCAAACGTGGCAATGCAAAATGGCCCATTTATAGATGATTTTCCCATTGAAACCTCCATTTATAGTGGCTTTCCAATTGACATGGTTGATTACCAGAGGGATCCAGAGGGTAATTATATAGTATGTTCTATACCCAAACTGAATAGAGTTGGAGGATTTAACCCCCACAGCAGCAGAATTGGAATCTTTCTATCTAGGTTGTTAGCTCCCAAGAGTATCTTCTCGCTGTTCCCCACGGTGACAGGACGAAAAAGAAGCAAGCTTTCAAGTTGGAGATGTGGTAGAGTCGCTGGGACGCGCATGGAGCAGGTGTTAAACCCCCGTTTGGTAAGGGAAACTGGCACTGTTTGTTGAAAAGGAAGAGCACATGATGATCCTGATGCAATATTGCTATGTTCAACAGCTGCTAAAAACTGGCCTTCCTTTTTCATCCTTTTTCATCCTTTTTCCAAGGTGTCCAAGCTGAGCCATGAAATGGAATATCAACTTGAAGCACTGATCACATGTAGAGAATTACTTCCCTGGATTCCCTTTGCACAGGATTCTTTTCCCCTCCAGAAGCAGATCAACTGGTTGGAATTTTGGGTGCAGTCACTGTATCCATATCCTTCATGCAGATTACATGCTGTGATTTCCAACGGCACGTGCCGCAACAAGATCTCTCGTTAGGAAGCCGCTTTCTAAGGCTTCCTTCCTTTTTGAAAGCAGGAAAGAAAGGTGGCAAAGTCAGGTGCGGCTCTTGGAGTGCCGCGTCTTTGGATTTTTAGGATCCTCAAAGAAACAACTGTTGAATGAAACACCCATGTTGGTGGAGTGTTCGAACCCCGCCTGTGTCTTCTAAGTACTTCCTCTCAGAGATGGTCACAGGCTCAAACGAATTTAAAGCAAGCCTGTCCAAACCCAGTTTTGCTCCCTCAGAAACGCAAGGCCGCGAGGTCCACTCCGGTAAATTCTCTTAAATTAATGAGGAAGAGCCGGCAATTTGTGCATCATATCATACCTCATAATATGTTTCATCATATTTCATCATATGTTCATCATATTTTTCGTAGTTCCATCATATTTCATCATGTATCCTTCATGTTTCCATATATTTCCATCACATTTCCATAAAATATTTCCAGATTATCCATGGCGCATTTTTTGTATGTCATTTCCCAAGGGGAACATTCCCGCTCTCCAGGCCCGGAGACCCATTGAAGGCCAGCGATCCGTGAAAAGACTGAAGATGCTGGGTATATTATGTTTTGAGCCTAATATATATTTATATATATATTTATTATTATTACTATTTTATTATTATTATATATATAACATATAATTATATATCATATACAGGTATTATATATATAATAGCCGCAATATTGATGTTCTAATATTTATCAATATGTCATATGATAAATCCGTATAAATCCAACAAACCCCCAAAAATATCAAGAATGGTTTTGACCACCCATTCTGCACTAGTCTTTGGAGCCCCTGAGCCTTGACGCCGGAGATCATAGCTGTGGACTGCTCCGACGTCGATGCGGAAGCGGTTCTGGTGATGACTGCTCGAACCATGGCGAACGATGAGGTTGTCAACGGTCCGATTCCATGGGTACTGCAGCTTGAGGGCTTTAGGGAGGCCCATATAGACCCATTTTTGGGGGCACCAGATGGTTCCCCGTTTCGGGGAGGTTTCCCTTCATCCAATATTCTGGGATGGTGAAATTTGAAACCCTTATGGATTCACAATAAATGAACAATCCCCAAATATCAACCACTTGGGTGTGATTTAAATCATCCCACGAATCGGGCTCTACTCCATGAATAAACCAAAATCGGGCGGGCCCAGTTGCCATGCCTTGGTATCACTGGCTACAGCGGCTACCGGTCCTGATCCCAGGATTGAAGAAGCTGTGGGTGAAAATGGGTGCCATCAAAAAGGCAGAAAAGAGCCACTTTGGCTGCAGATCTTGATGTTTTTTGGAGAACCAGGTGATTTAGGTTTCGCAAAACACGGAGAGAATTCTGGGTTTGGTGATTCTGATGGGAAAAGATGGGAGCAAATATACACTAGCGCAGAGAGCTACATCTAGCATCAACTACTGATTCTGGAGCCAAGACTATATAGCGATACTTCATGTTCGTGTTTTACATCCAGCAGTTGTAACAATGATCATCAACATGCCCAACTGGATCAAACATATAATATGCTTTCAGGTTTTGCGACGTCACCCCAAAATTCTGAATAATTGCTGAGAGGTACTTCGAGAGACTCTCTGACTCTTGCCACTGTTTTTCTGTCCTCAAAGTCAGAAAGGTGTTTCTGATGTTGTTTTTCTTTCTATCATAAAGCTGTGGAGTCATATATTTATTGCTATAGGTTACAAACTCGTACCTGCTTATCATCGCAATATCGTCCAGAGTGAGAACCTACTAGAGCCATGAGCCCCCAAAAGTATCCAAAAGTTAGTTTCGGCTTGAGCAACTTGCATCCATATGTTCAACAAGTCTTTCAATTCTATTAGTAGATATTTTAAGTAGTGTACCGTGTCATGAGGCCAGATTTGGAACTAGGTACTTTCAACATACAGGCTGTATGCTGTCATCCCAGGTTCGTGGAAGTCACTTGCACATCCTTTTTTGCACTGCTTGGTTACTGGAAGAATGAACCTTGGTCTTCATGATTTCGAAGAAATGAATGCAAATGATCATACATGATAACATTTATAAAAGATGACAACACATTATATCATATAATATCACATGATGATATATAGACATGAATGGATGAAAACAGGATGATATTTGTTGGTAGTTACCACTTAAATTAACATAACTATACATATAAAACATCATAAATCTCAACCATACAAAACCAGCTCTATTAAGAACATTTAACAACCATTTCCTCAATTTCCTCCTGTCTTTTGTTCCACATTTCGACCCGTCTCCGGTCACCTGGCGCAGACTTCGTCTCCTCCGACAAAGCGAAGGCCACGGCCAAGGTGGCGTCAAAGGCTGGGAGATGGCCCGTTGCGGATCGGAGTGGCTTTGGTTCACCATGGTAATATGGATTGATATAGGGTATTCATATGGGATATATATATATATATATACGTATATATATATATATACGTATATATATATATATGTATATATATGTGTGTGTGTGTCAACGTATGCAACCACATGTGACCATTTTAAATAATCATATATATATATATATATTCAAGCCACTGATAGTATGTGTATTTATATGTAATCCATGTAGAATATGGAATATTATTCTAATATTCATATGGGACAACCAACTGATAATATATATATATATATACATATTGCAATCCATTTACAATATATTATGGGATAAGCCACTGAATGGGGACTTGCGATCACCAGGGTTACGAAACATTCGTGGGATCCTCCAAGGAAGGACGGACAGATACTAGCAGTTTGTGAGGGATATATATAGAAATATAAATATATACATATTATTAATATTACTATTATTGGTAATATTACTTGTTATTATTATTAATATTCTATTATTACTATTACTCTTTATTTCAATATAACATGGACTAACAGATTATCATTACTATTATTCTTGTTGTTATTATTACTATGATTATTCTTAAGATCATTATTGTATTTGCTTTTTGACATGCTAAATAATGGCACATGGACACATCATCGAACTCAGTGGGTCATTTCTAGCAATTTCGGTTTTATAAAACCAGACGGTAAGACGAATGGTGCACTTTGAAGGAGGAACACCATATTCATATATTATGAATTACTTTTATATACTCACTCATCTACAACAGACTATCTTCGAAGATTTTAACATAGTTTAGCATGATCATTAGTCTTTTGGCTGTAGCATTAAATAACTCACATAATATGTTTATATAAACTCACATAATATGTATATATATATATGTAGATGGAAGTTATTTTTTGCTTCCAAGTTTGACTGCCAGAGGGTAGCGTTGCTTGTTACACCCACTGCCCACTACTCAACCCGTCGACTTTAGAAGCGGAGCTGAGGGAAGTGCTGGGACGCAGTCAAGAACATGCTGTGTCAAAATGTGGTATACCCCCAGTGGCCCAGTCTAATATGATGTTTGGTGGGTTAACTATACATATATATATATACACTATATACATAGCTATATATAGCTATATATACCTATATATATATACACTATATTACATCATGCATGATTTAGTTTCGATAGGATCAGATAGCCCCATGTTCCAACAGTCTTCTTACCGCTTCCGACGTCCACAGTCGTCGTGACTTCCGACTGTGATCCACCCTGCAGGCCACATGGATTAACAAGAGCTTTGAAGAGATGACGGAGAACGAAAAGATGCTGGGTCGTTATATGTTGAATTTTCCCGATCAAGTCGTACCTTTCGAGGAATGTGGGGCTTGATTTTGGGGGTTAGCCGGGTTGGCCGTACCTTCTCAGGTAGCATGGCTGGATCCATAGGGATTTTAAGTTCTTATTATTTGACAATGTTTTTTGATGATGTTGATTGTCCGTCCATGTTAGTAAGTGTAAGTTTCTAGGGCCATTCTAGGCCCGTTGCCTTGCCCCAGTTTCGGTTGCAACTTTCAGGGTGCCTTTCTATCGTCACGATTTGCTCAGGAGAAGTTTGACAATCCTCTCGAGTTTTGCGGCGACTTGGTTCAAGGTCGGAAGAGGTTCCCAACGGTGTCAGGCCTGCAACAGAAGTCCCCAGAACAGAAGAACATGATTTTTTTTTACCTGTGTTTGATTGAGATGATTCATGATTTGGCCTTGGTGAATGCACCATTTTGGGAATCATGTGAATTCTATGTTTTAATGTATGATAATTTATGCCGTTCTCCATTACGCAAATGCAAGTAGATCGTGGCACATGTGATGCTTTTCATGTTCATGTCCTTTGGTGGTACATCTTCGCATTTCTTGACTGTTCTTGATGCTTCTTTCCATCATAGCTAATTACACTGAATTGTGCTGTATTATGGCATCACCCGACCAAATGAGAACTTGCTGTCAGGTTTGTCAGCTTTCTTACTGTAATAGTGAGATGCAGGTCAAATGGTTATTTTCTGTGTTTTTCTCACTCCTTTGACTGGCTGTGTCCCAGATAATGGTTTAATAAACCCTGACCATCCCTGATATGAATTGTGGGTGCGTGCGACCCGAAAATAGTTGTCGAAATGGCTCTCCCCCTGTAAGCCTGGGTGGTATCAGCAGCCGCTAAGGACTACATGACAAGTCGCAAGGTTCGAGCGTGCCTTGTCAGAGACACCATTCCACTGAGTGTGAGTCCTTCAAGAATCATGGAGTACATGTTGTTACAGTAAATGGTGGAATGATGGTTTACTAAGGCTGACACGAACATTTGTTCATTATCATTGTCTGTTTTTACTAAAAAAATGTGTACAATTTTCGTATGTTTTCGTTATTAATTCCAATTCATTGTTTTTGATATATTGACATGGGCATGCAGGATTGTTAATAGATGTTGACAGGGGACTATGATAGTACAATATACCGATCATGTTCGGGTTCTGGCTTGGGGGATGTTCCGTTGGCCAATCTATGATAGCTATCGTCAGTGGTTCAGATAGCCAAGCCTATGGTAGCTGTTGAGGATATGATCTTCAATCCCCACGATTTGCTTGTACCGAAATTTGTTTACCCACAGAATTGGTATGAAAAATTGTTTTTCTTGACGTAGTTTTTTTCAGTTCTTCCGCTCCACTTTTTTTGGTAAAGTGAAAATTAGGGTTACCCTCTGGTAAACTAACATGCCTATGGAAAATCACAATTTTTAATGGGAAAAGTCACTATAAATGGCAATTTTCCATAGCTATATTAGTTTACCAGAGGGTAAAGCCTATTCCCCCATGTGCTTTCTTCTTATTATCCTTTCGTATCTTTTCTCCGGCTGGGATGAGCTTGTTGAATCGGGTAAATCAAATCCCTTGTATGGGGCCTTTCACCGTAAGCACACCAAAGAAACAAAGTTGATCTTGCAACAATAATAGCCCCAAGCAACCCCCGAAACTCACAATTTGAATCTTCAATCACTTAAGACCGACTAATTCTTGACATCCTTTATATAACGACCCAAGGACCCAAGGTGAAAATTGGGCCGCAGTTTTTCGTCCCGGGCCATGCACCTGGCGGCGCGGCCTTTAGGAAGGACTTCTTCAGCAAGTTCGACGAATCGGGGGACGGACAGATCGACTCGGAAGAGCTGATGAAAGGTGGCTTGCCATGGCATTTGTTGATGGTTTTCTGACATTTGTTGACCATCAAGAAGATGGGGAAATAATGGGTAAATAATGGGAAATAGTTGATACATGATGGTTGATAATTAGTTGATACATGATGGTTCTTGATGGTTGATGATTGTTAAATGCTACAGGGTGTTTTTAGTTTTAAAGCCTAGTTGAGCTATATCTACAGCATATTGCCTCCATAGTTGACATAGTCAGTGACCAACTTAGCTACTGTAACTATGGGGCAGCACTTTGTGGGGCAACCCATCCCATAAGCATGTTCAATCATTGATTGGGGTGGTTTAACGTCCCCCAAATGGTACTAGTTTTCTGGTTCATTGATGACATCTCGGCCTCCCAACTGAGTGAACCAACACATCTCCGTCAGTCTCAACATACACATAAGTCGTATCCCTACCTAAAGGACAGGCTTGATAATACATATCTGAACATCTACATGTCTACATATCTATCTATCCATCTATCTATCCATCCATCCATCTGTCTGATCCTATCTATCTGATCCTATCTATCTGATCCTATCTATCTATCTATCTATCTAATCTAATCTATTCTAATCTAATCTAATCTAATCTAATCTAATCTATCTATCTATCTAAAACTATCTATCTAAAACTATCTATCTAAAACTATCTATCTATCTAAAACTATCTATCTATCTAAAACTATCTATCTATCTAAAATTATCTATCTATCTAAAACTATCTATCTATCTAAAACTATCTATATATCTAAAACGATCTATCTATCTAAAACTATCTATCTATCTATCTATCTATCTATCTAAAACTATCTATCTATCTAAAACTATCTATATATCTAAAACGATCTATCTATCTAAAACTATCTATCTATCTATCTACCTACCTACCTATCTATCTATCTATCTATCTAAAACTATCTATCTATGTATCTATCTATCTATCTATCTATCTATCTATCTATCTATCTATCTACTGTATCTATCTATCTATCTATCGATCTATCGATCTATCGATCTATCTATCTATCTATCTATCTAAGTTGAAATATATCGACCCCTGAGCCCCACTATGTATATCATAGGTAGTAGGTCTAGTGTAGACATGCCGTAGCTATGATTCCATCCAATTCGAATAGCTATTCCCAATGTATGTACAGTTACAACGACACTTACTTAGAAGCGTTAGGTAAGTGTAAAGTAGCCATAATTAGAAACCGATATTCCCCTTTCCCTAACAACAACCTGGGTCAGGGTAATATGCTGTTGATGTTGTGGCTCAAGTGCGCAAAAGCTGCGCGCTTGCTTGTTTTGTATGTTTAAGGGTTGTGGTAGGAACGTATTTGGTTCGACCCCCCTTTTGTCTGGTTATCAGCCGTAAGGCTTGTTTTCTTGGTTGTTTTTGCCTTTTGGGGTTTCTATTCCTACCACAACTGGTTTAGGCCCCTGGTTTCGCTTCGCTCACTGTCTTTCACTGTTGCATGCCTGCAGAAGGGTCGGACGAAGTCGCTGACGATTACGTCGCGACGGAAACACCAGTGGACGGATCCGAAGCGGCTGGTGAAGCAGAAGGTGTTGAAGAGAATCTTCCACCGACTGTTGACCCGGTAGCGGAGGAGCCCAGAAACTGGGCCGATCTTTCTGAGGGGTCCACTGCGCCCGCGCCTTCTGGAGAACTTGGACTGACTCAGGTCAAACAAGAGGTTCAAGAGGCCGAGTCGCTCAACGCGGTCCTTTCTGCAATTGGTGTTCCGGAGGTGGTCGCTGACGAGCCCGTCGCGACAGAGGGTGATTTTGAGCAGTCAACTTCAGATCAAACATTTTTGGAAGCTCCTCCAGACGCGGACAATCCGGCAGAAGCAGCTTTCACGGACCTTGATCAAGCTAAGGAAGAAGACTTTCAATCTGATCCTCAACCATCACCTTCAGAGCACGTAGACGCCGAGATTGAAGAAGCCGAACAGCAGGTTGAGACATCCGATCTTTTGGGTTTAGGTGACGAGGCAGGTCCAGTAGGAGAAGCATCCGTTGCATCCGAACCATCTGCATCCGTGCCTGAGCCTGCGGTCGCTGACACATCCGGTGTCGCGACAGAAGCCAACACTAGTTGCCCCGATCAAATAGTCCCACCACCAACTAGCCCTAATCTTGTTGACCCAGGTGCCGATCCTATCCAAGTAGGACATTCCCCCGCTAGTTCATCAACAGCCCATCGACCAAGGGTTCGATCCAGCAGGGGTGGTGCCACAACCAGGTGGCAAGAAGCAAAGCGAGCTTGGTGGAACGACTTCGAGGCATACCAAAATTGGCTTTACCATAACTCCGGAGGGGATATTGTAGGTGGCTTTTGGTTAAGAAAGATTTCTTACGAATACGCCGACGAAAGCACTCGCTGGTTGATAGCTCTTCATTCAAGACTTGTTGAGGAGTTCCCAACATCACAGTGTTTAGCTTTGGCCTATCAAATCCTCATCCCATACAAAGAGTGGGCACACATCTACGGTTTGGACAGGCGCAGAGGTATTTCACACGGTGAACAAGTGATAAACTCTGGTGAACTACCCCCTAAAAGGATCATCAATCAACGCATCTTAGGGGCAGAGCACCCGTGCCCAGAAGAGTGGGATAGGTATTATAGATACGTAGGCCCACAGCAGCAACCCCATCCAAAAGTGGTAAGGCCTGCTGCCGCAACACCCGTTGCTGGCGCGGCAAGTGGAGGCACAGATCCAACTCCGGTCCAGCAAGGACCCAAGGAGCCTGGGCACCCACCGCCGAACTGGCAACCTTCTTTGAGAAGGCCACCTGAGCCAGCAGTGCCACCACGTCCAAGGGTTACTGTCTCTGTCCATCCGGTCCCACAAGCCCCAAAGTCAGATTCTCAAGGGGTCGCTGCCTTTGCACCAGTCCCAGCTGCTAGCCCTGCTAAGCCACCCGCTAAAGCTAGGCCTAAAGCTCCTGATTCTAGTGCCACAACTCTTGCAGATAGAATCCAAGGTTTGCCACCTCCACCTAATAACATTCCCCCTAGTCCGACCCTTCATAAGCAACCACCTTTACCACCACCACCATCTCATCCGCCGCCAACTGCACAGGAGCTCGCTGCCCGCAGTTCCCAGCAAGCAGAGGCGCGAGAAGAGGCTGCTCCGGAGGGTCCCAACGATCCACCGCCTGAAGAGGAGCAGTGGGTGGAGGAGGAAGAGGAAGAAGAAGCTTTGGAGGAGGACGAAGTGGTGGAAGTTGAGGTTGAGGCCGAAGCTGAACCCGAATTCCCTGACTTTGCACCAACAGAGCACGGCCGTGAGGTTTCCACGCGCCGTCGTAGGCCTAAAAGAACTAGGTCCAATCCGCCATTGCCTGTCAATCTAGTCCCAAGGGAGACCCGTGAGCGCATTGAACTTAATCAAGAACTTTTTAGAGCCCGAACCATAACCGGTGTTTCTAGAAGACCTCTTGCTTTAAGACCTCAAGTGCACGGTTACCCCGAAATTAGAATTGACTCCGCTGGCACCTGGGCTAGGGTCGCTGATCCTCCGATCGCGTACGCGCCGCAGACTTTGCCGTTCATTGTGCCGCACGCCGTGGCACCAGAGCTTGGGGTCAACCCACACGAGCTTCCCGACTCGTTGTGGCGTGATCCTGCACTTAGATCCCATCGGACTGTTCTTGGTTCAAGTAACTTAGACCCCAATAGTGTTTATAATCTTGACACCAATAACCCCGGTACAGAATCTGAGGGCTCTGAAACTGCTGAGACTCGAACCGCCAGGTTTGTTTCATCAGGTCAGGCATTTGTCGGCCAGCAAGAACCTTTCGACGCTGGCTTCGCTGAGCGCACCCCTGCCCGTCCAATTGAGTCTCCACCAAAGAGACAACGTCCTAACATAAGAACCTCCCGAATCCAACGTGATAAGCCGGCACAGCCCAGAAAAGATCCAGTTTCTGCTGCACCCACAACACCTGCAGCCCCAACAGTACCATCGTTGACTGTTCCCCCATTAAGCGGTTCTAGTAGTTCAGCTTATCCCTGGAGGCAGTCTTTGCAAAGTGCTGGAACTGGGGTCGCTGACACAGCCCGTGTCGCGACAGAGACTGCATCAGAGCCAGCCGGCTCTCCCGTTGCGCGATCCAGGTCAAGAGCACCCTCAGCCGAAACTGCGCCCGCAGTTGCTGCCAGAACAAGGGGAAGGGAAGTACCAATTTCCAATAAGATTTCATCTAAGTCTCGCAAAAGAGCTAGTTCCGTTCCTGTGCCAATCCGTGCAAAGGGGGCTGCTGTCCCCGACACGCCCCAAAGGCCAGAACCGTTGCCACCAGCTCCAGAGAAAAAGAAGAATCTGCCTTGGAAACGTCCACCTGTGGACATTGCGCCTGCGGCACCTGCTGCACCCGTGGCACCTGCTGCACCCGCTGCACCTGTGGTAATTCCCCCAAGACCTAATAGGCCAGTTCCCCCTAATCCAGCTAACCTTAAGCCCGTAAAACCTCCTCCGCCAGGAGTTGGGGGGCCAAGACCTGCTGGTCCGCCGTCCCGAGACTTGCCTCCACTTGATCCCGAAGGACAGCAGCAGCCGCATCAAGAGCAAAGCTCAGGTTCTGGCCTTGCACCCCACGTCCGTGGGCGGCCTTTACCTGACCCAACACCAGATCGGCCTGAGGGGGTCGCTGGCTCTGTGCCGCGACATTACCAGCACCAACCCAACTTAGTCTCTAAGGTAGTCCACGTTAATACATCCAACGTAGTTGTTTGTATCGACTGGCACGATACCATTGACCAGGCTCTCAACCCCGTAGGTGAATTGTCTTCCCATCTAGTTGATAAGCTTCGGTCATTGACTAGGATTGCTGGTAATCAAATTGAGTTCCACATTGTCTCATACGCCGGCCAATCTAAGATTGACAGCACCAAGGCCGGTGCTGAGCACGTGATTAGCCAGCTCATTGCAGAAGGTTTGCCGTTTAGAGAAGTGCACCTGGCACGCTATC